GTCATCAGCTCCAAATAACTCCAGTAGCAGGTCTTTGATGAATCAAACCGGATTTCCAGCCTCCACTCCTTCTAGAATCCCGACGAATCTTAAATTCTGTCTCCGGCTACGATTCTCCAAATCCATACATTTCTCCTGCAATTTCTTGTGTTCTTTAGCCATGCGTTCATGAGACTGTTCAAGTACTGCCACTCTGTCCATCGTGTCACTCAGGGTTTTCCCCATCTCCCTCATTCGCCGATTCGGCCTGTGCTTTGTGTAAGGCAGCCAGCTCTGGAAAGATTTCCTCTCGTAGCGCACGCAGGTCCTCTTTCATCTCCTCTCGATTCTTTTACATCTCCAGATGAAGGCTTTCCATTTGCGATTTAATATCTTTAATCACTACCTCACGATGCATATGTAGTTCTGCTCTGAGTGCACTCAACGAAATCGGAGAATCGCCGTCGTCTTCGTCCATCTTTCTCTCACTGCTTTCTGCTTTTGTATTGCGTTGGATTGTCGATGTAACTTTTTGCACGAGCTCGGTTTCATGTCGAAAAGTTTGTTGTTATGACTCTTTGACAGAAATGTAAAGGCTTTACTTGGTTGATTAGTCTATTTAGCAATAATTTGTTATTTATTTGAGGAGCTCCCTTCTGTGCTGTTCACTCCATGCGGGCGGAAGCGGAAGTCTCAGGGATAACTTTCTAGAGTAGAAGGCAAGTGGATGGAGTGTAGGAGGCTCTCTGTGACTTTGTAACAATACCAATCCTACCCCTACTTTTAAAGCATCCACGAGGAAAGTGAGTTTTGGATCTGAATGAACCAAGATAGGAGTGGTGCAAAAGGCATCCTTGAGTTTCTGGAATGCATTGACGGCGTCAGGAGTCCAGAACGGAGACTTGGGCTTATTCTTTAGCAGTGAGGTGAGAGGTGCACAGATCTGACAGAATTTGGTGATGAAACGGTTGTAGAAATTGGTAAAGCCCAGGAATCTTTGGAGTTCTTTGATGGTGTTAGGTTGAGGCCAGTCCTTGACAGCTTGTACCTTCCTCTGGTCCATGTGAATGCCTTGATGGTCGATGATGTAACCCAGGAATTGGATGGTGTCATGTTGGAACTCACACTTCTCCAATTTGAGGTATAGATGGTTTTCTCTCAATTTCTCGAGGACCTGTTTCATCTGGTGGCAATGTTCGGCCAGGTTCTGGGAGTAGATGAGGATATCATCAATGAATATGATGACAAACTGATGGAGGAACTCCCGGAACACCACATTCATGAATCCTTTGAAGACAGAGGGTGAGTTGGAGAGGCCATATGGCATCACCTGGTATTCATAGTGGCCTGATAGTGTTATGAAGGCGGTCTTCCATTCATCACCCTCACGGATCTGAATGAGGTTGTAAGTGCTACGCAGGTCCAGTTTGGAGAAGATGCAAGCACCACAAAGCTGTTCCAGGGTGGCTGGGACCAGAGGAAATGGGTAGTGATATTTGACAGTTTGCGAGTTCAGGATACGGTAATCGATGCATGGCCTCAAGCCTCCATCCTTCTTGCTGATAAAAAAGAAGCTGGATGTTGCTGGTGAAGTAGAAGGGTGGATGAATTCCTGCCTGAGAGCCTCCTCGATGTACTCCTCCATGGTCTTCTGTTCCGGTATGGACAGCAGGTATACTCTACCCTTAGGTAGCATGGCCCCATGCAGCAGGTCAATTGCACAGACCCATGGCCAATGAGGTGGTAATTCCGTTGCTGCCTGCTTGCTGAAGACATCCTGGAAAGCCCTGTAGTCAGGTGGAATCTCAAGAGTCTTCGAGGTCTCTGGGCTCTCCACAGTCATGAGGATGGAGCTGTAGAAAACTGCTGTAGAAAACAAGAGACATGCTTTTATGGAGACAATCACCACTCCATTGGAGGATTTCCACTTGACCTCTAAGGGTTAGTTCACCCAAAAATGAAAATTAGCCCATAAATTACTCACCCTCAAGTCATCCATGACTTTCTTCTTTCAGACGAATCCAGTCGGAGTTATATTAAAAATAGTCTTTGATTTTTCAAGTTGTTTCATGGCACTCAGCGGATGTTGCATGCATCAGTCCAAAAGAAGTTAAAAAGTTAAAAAGTGTCTCACACGGCTCCGGGGGGTGAACAAAGGCCTTCTGTAGCGAATCAATGCGTTTTTGTAAGAAAAATATATTATGCATATTCAAAACATAATAATCACTTTAATGTAGCTTGCGCTCACTGTTGTACACGGAAGCAGTTCCGGGCGGATGACGTATGGAGGCCGGCTTTGAGCATGCGCCGCTCAGAAGTGACGCACGCGGAAGCGCAGGGGAGAGATCAAAACAAAACAACGGTCTGACAAATGGATTGGACGAGCTCAGCAAACAGATATGGGTTTGGATCACAGTGTTGATTTGCATATTTTGCGGTCTGGTCTTCTGTCAGCAAACAGAAGAGGACAACACCGGTAAGTACAGTTTAACAGAGTTTATTAATTGAGGCTTCTGCAGATGAGAAAGTGATGATCACAGATATGGATATTTTTGGAGAGTTAAGAGCATAGGCTTAGCTGAATAATCACACTGGTGTCTTTGCAGGTGGTGATGGACCCAGAGAGCGGAGCAGACGACAGAAGATGAACAGATAAGTAGATCAGGTAAGGTGCCAGGGAGGTTGATGCACGCATGTGAACAACAAGACCAGACACTGAGGAAGGAATGTGATGGTGGCTTATTACCGGGCTTGATTGGTGTTGACAGGTGGAGTGCATCAGTATTTGGGTGATTAAGAATGAGTGGGAGGAGCTGAAGGATCTGGCGTTGCTGTTGACTCCATGACAGAGACATGTGTAGTAAATCAGCAATTCATTACTGCCCATAGGTTTCTGGAATATTTCTAATTTACTTACTTTTACATTCATTCAGCAGGAGCTTTTATTTAAAGTGAATTACCAAAGAGAAAGACTACGAGCAACAATACGGCAAGTTTAAAATCTAAATTAGATTAGTAACACACTAGAGCAAACGTGTAATGCAGAAGATAACTTATTGTAACTTTTACTTATTGGAAGTATATTTCAGGGACTACTCTATTTTTAACTCTAATAATTTTCCAACGATATGTCTTTAATTTTAGTTATGATGACACTTTATACAACACTGATTTTCTTATACAGCATTTCAAGAATCACAACCACAAAGAGGTTAAAATTAAGCCATGCATATTTCTGATTCGGAAAATAAATATTACAGACTACACACCATTCTATCCCAGTAACATGGTAAATCATAACTAACACGCACCAGCACATCTGACTCCATCACCAGACCATCCGTCACTGCAGGAGCAGCGGTAATGTGCCGGTGTGTTGACACAGGTGGCGTGTGTGTCACAGTTGTGAGTGTTAATCTCACACTCATTAACATCTGGATCAGAGCATAAGAGATTACACTACATACCAATACAAACACCACTAACAACTAATGCAAACTGCGGAGTATTAACTTATCAGTGTAAGTGTAGTATGGTAGTATTTATAATACTAAGTATAAGGTACACATCACACACAGTAAATTATTCTGACGTGTTTTTCTGGATCAGGACTCACCGGTGCAGCCAGAGGTTCCTTTCTTCACGACGTAACCCATCTCACAATGACAGATGAAAGAACCCTTGGTGTTCTCACATTCCCCAAACACACAGATGTTGCTCAGCAAACAGATATGGGTTTGGATCACAGTGTTGATTTGCATATTTTGCGGTCTGGTCTTCTGTCAGCAAACAGAAGAGGACAACACCGGTAAGTACAGTTTAACAGAGTTTATTAATTGAGGCTTCTGCAGATGAGAAAGTGATGATCACAGATATGGATATTTTTGGAGAGTTAAGAGCATAGGCTTTGCTGAATAATCACACTGGTGTCTTTGCAGGTGGTGATGGACCCAGAGAGCGGAGCAGACGACAGAAGATGAACAGATAAGTAGATCAGGTAAGGTGCCAGGGAGGTTGATGCACGCATGTGAACAACAAGACCAGACACTGAGGAAGGAATGTGATGGTGGCTTATTACCAGGCTTGATTGGTGTTGACAGGTGGAGTGCATCAGTATTTGGGTGATTAAGAATGAGTGGGAGGAGCTGAAGGATCTGGCGTTGCTGTTGACTCCATGACAGCGACATGTGTAGTAAATCAGTAATTCATTACTGCCCATAGGTTTCTGGAATATTTCTAATTTACTTACTTTTACATTCATTCAGCAGGAGCTTTTATTTAAAGTGAATTACCAAAGAGAAAGACTACGAGCAACAATATGGCAAGTTTAAAATCTAAACTAGATTAGTAACACACTAGAGCAAACGTGTAATGCAGAAGATAACTTATTGTAACTTTTACTTATTGGAAGTATATTTCAGGGACTACTCTATTTTTAACTCTAATAATTTTCCAACGATATGTCTTTAATTTTAGTTATGATGACACTTTATACAACACTGATTTTCTTATACAGCATTTCAAGAATCACAACCACAAAGAGGTTAAAATTAAGCCATGCATATTTCTGATTCGGAAAATAAATATTACAGACTACACACCATTCTATCCCAGTAACATGGTAAATCATAACTAACACGCACCAGCACATCTGACTCCATCACCAGACCATCCGTCACTGCAGGAGCAGCGGTAATGTGCCGGTGTGTTGACACAGGTGGCGTGTGTGTCACAGTTGTGAGTGTTAATCTCACACTCATTAACATCTGGATCAGAGCATAAGAGATTACACTACATACCAATACAAACACCACTAACAACTAATGCAAACTGCGGAGTATTAACTTATCAGTGTAAGTGTAGTATGGTAGTATTTATAATACTAAGTATAAGGTACACATCACACACAGTAAATTATTCTGACGTGTTTTTCTGGATCAGGACTCACCGGTGCAGCCAGAGGTTCCTTTCTTCACGACGTAACCCATCTCACAATGACAGATGAAAGAACCCTTGGTGTTCTCACATTCCCCAAACACACAGATGTTGGTGTTGAGTTTACACTCATTCACATCTGCAAACAAAGGCCCCACAGCAACAGACTAAACCAAAATCAGATCGTCAGATGACTGTGAAAATTTGAAGAGAGAGCCAGTACAGAAAGACTTGATACTTCTGTCTTATTTTTGTTCTTATTTGTTTTATATATAAACTTGAGAAATGTGCTGTGTAAGCTGAATTATATACAAATGAACAAACACATAGTTTCTTAAAAAAATAAAAAAACAGAATTGAGCAGCATACCAATGCATGTCCTCATGTCCACAGAAGTCATGAATCCTTCATGACACATGCAGTGATATTCTCCAGGAACATTAGTGCACTGACCACCTTCACAGATGTCAACATGCTCTTCACATTCATTCACATCTGATGAGACACAGAGAGAGACAGTAGAATCAATGCATGTATGTGTACAACCGGACATACAGTTTGTAAAAATTGCATTTTTATACTGCACTAAATCAGATATGTTTGGAAATAAACAGCTGCTGTGTTAGATATAGAAGAAGGTGAACAGTGGTTTGTCAGGTTTGGTAGCAGAGCAGCTAGTGTTAAGAATGCACCTGCACATGTCCTTTGGTCCGGCGTCAGAGTGTAACAATAGGTAGATAAGGAATAGTAAACTAGCATGACGCTAGCATGATTAGCAAGTTACTAGCATGTCACTAACGTGTTTCCAGCATAATTAGCATGTCGCTAGTATGTTGCTGGCTTTATTATCAAGTACCTACCATGTTGCTATCATGATTAGCATGTGACTAGCATGTCATTAGAATGATTAGCATGTCATTAGCAAGTTACTAGCATGTTGTTAACATGATTAGCAAGTGACTAGCATGTTACTAGCATGATTAGCAAGTGACTAGCATGTTGCTAGCATTACTGCATGACTATCAAATGACTAGCATGTTGCAAGCATGGCTAGCAAGTGACTAGCATGTTGTTAGCATGATTAGCAAGTTACTAACATGTCATTTGCATGTTTCTAGAGTTTTGATAACATGATTAGCAAAGTTACTAGCATGTTGCTATCATGTTGTTAGCATGATTAACAAGTGACTAGCATGTTTGTTAACAGGACTAGCAAGTGACTAGCATGTTGCTAGCATGACTAGCAAGTGACTAGCCCATCGTTAATATGATTAGCCAGTTACTAGCATGTCATTAACATATTTCTAACATGTTGTTAGCATTATTAGCAAGTGACTAGCATGTCGTTAACATGTTTCTAGCATGTTGCTAGCATGATTAACAAGTGACTAGCATGTCGGTAGCGGGTTGTTAGTATGATTAGTAAGTGACTAGCATGTTGCTAGCATGATTAGCAAGTGACTAGCATGTTGCTAGCATGATTAACAAAGTTACTTGCATGTCGTTAGCATGTTTCCAACATGTTGATAGCATGATTAGCAAGTTTGCTAGCATTTTGCTAGCATGATTTGCAAGTTACTAGCATGTTTCCAGCATGATTAGCAAGTGACTAGCATGTTTCTAGCATGATTAGCAAGTTACTAACATGTTGTTATCATGTTTCTATGCTAATCCAGCTATAAACCAGTTGATTCAGTAAAAAAACAGCTAAAAACCACCCAAGACTAGCCTGACCTGCTAAAAAAAGTGTCTAAAACCACTTTAAAACCAGCTTGGGAGACCAGCCAAAGCAGACAATCAGCTTAGGCTGGTTTTCGCTGTTTTTTCAGTAGGGAGTTGTTAAGCTTTGCTATAGCAATAGACAGCTTAAATACACCATTAGTCTTATTGTATAAAAGTTTTCACTCCCTCAATGAAAGTCTATGGGATTTTAGGTGGTCTTTTTCAAGCCAACTTAATAACGGAGAGTATACTAATGTCAATGAAGTGTCACTCACCCAAGCAGTTCTTCATCAACATAAATCCCCTCTCATAGCCAGGGAAACAGTCACACTGGAAACTGCCCAGAGTGTTCACACACGTGCCATGACCACAAACATCAGGAGAGATCACGCACTCGTCAATATCTGTGAAAATTCACACACTCATGTAGAGAAACACATGAAATGCTTTATCATTTTCAACTGAATGTATGCACAGATACTCAAAGGGCAGCCCAAACCTTAATCTGAAAAGAATGAAACAATGGATTTATTCAAATAAAAGAGTTTATAATATTTGATACCAGAATGCAACTCAGTGGTCTGTGATAGCACCGATATCATTTGTTAATGTCGTCATTATGTCTCTAGTCATTCTATACTGATGGAAAGGATTGGCTATTTATATCTTCACAGACAATCAGAATCACCTGTACAGTTTTGCTCATTGGCATCCAGTGCAAAGCCACTGTCACAACGACATCTGAAGCTTCCAATGGTGTTTCGACATTTTCCATGAATACAGATGCTTTGGAAGACTTTACACTCATTGATATCTGACAAAGAGAGGATTAGATAAATGTCATTAATGAAAAATACAGTATGAATTTTATAAGAGCAGACATAACAGTGAAATCAAAATACTCCAGAGCAGCAGTATTTATTTGACCTTTATAGACAGCTCTGCCAGTGAGCATGTCCCCTTTGTTGGCAAAGCCTGGTCCTCTCGGGCACAGAGCATCAAACGGGCTTGTGCCAGGCTCAGGGCACAATTCACAATCTTTGCCCCAGGCCAAACCCACCGTACAGCAACACATGTCCGTGCGGAAGTGTCCTGGTACCGGCTGCGTACACACATCTTCATCATAGGTGAGAAAACAGGCCTCTGAACGAACATCTGGGAAAAACAGCCAATGAAAGCAAATTTCTCATTCCTTTTTAACATTAACATGTTTAACATATTTACTGCAGCAAAAGAGCTTCAGCAGTGCTGATATCAAAATAAAGTTAGTAGTGTTTATACTACAGTATACTGGGAATGGTTATACCTCACAAGATCAGTATGATTTCCAAAGAGCCAGACCAAAAAACATGCTTCAGCACATTTAAGCCAAAAAAGGGCTCACACAAATGAACTGACAAATCATAAGGACTTCAAACACACACAACAATCATGTACCTTGGTGGTACAAGTCATTTCTGTTATGCATGTTACAGTTACACACTGTATAACAGAAATGACTTGTACCACCAAGGTGAACCTTAAAGGCTTACCCTTAAAACTGAACCTTAAAACCTTGCCAGGGGCTTAATGGTTGATTGAGATTGGATCGAGACTCGGAAATGATGCTTCTTTTGACATACTGTAGGATGTTCACAAAAATCTATCAAATTTGACTAAGCCATTCATTGGGTGAAAATGTGCAGAATGTGTATGTGCCACTCCATTATCCTTGAGAAATGTTTGGAACTCATCTGAGGAGAACACAGACACTTCTGGGAGTCCACGATGAATAAAGAATCCTCTCAGCATCTGAATAGACGTTGTTGATTCCATTACACACACCTTGGGCTGTCTGGAGTGAGCATCCACTACTACCACAGGCTGTCCTTCAAAAGTCCACATGAATGCATTGCCAAGGTGACTCTGGCCTTTTCCAAGGGCCTTCATCCTTACGACACCCAGATCTCCAGTGTGCAGCTCTGTCAGTACCCTGGATCTCAGCTTACGAGGGATGAGACAACCTTGTTGAGCAGTCAACTCATCTTTCTTGTTCACGTATGGGGCAAGCACATTGTTTGAATCTGTGATTTGTGGAAAATGTCCAGTTGCCACAATTTCCTTTACTTGTGAGATAGTGGGGTCAAGTCAAGTCAAGTCACCTTTATTTATATAGCGCTTTTAACAATACAGATTGTGTCAAAGCAACTGTGAAGCATTACTTAGGAAAATATTGTGTCAATAATGCAAAATCACAATAGCAAACATTCAATTTTCAGTTAAAGGCAGTTCATCATTGAATTCAGTGATGTCATCATCCAGCTCAGTTCAGTTTAAATAGTATCTTTGCAATCAAGTCCATGATATCGCTGGAAATGAAGTGTCCCCAACTAAGCAAGCCAGAGGAACCAAAACTCCATCGGTGACAGAATGGAGAAAAAACCTTGGGAGAAACCAGGCTCAGATTTTGCTTCCTTACAAACATCTGAACACAACACTGGCAAGGCATCAAGATGTTTCATTTGGAGCAACTCCACAGTATCATCTTAACTTGAGGTGCAGTTGGTAGAGGTAGTCGTGATAGCCCATCTGCATTACAGTGAATGCAGTGCACCCTCTCTATACTGGATATTGTAATCATAGGCTGCCAAAATCAAAGCCCAGTGCTGCATCTGAGTCACAATGTAAACTTGTGCCCATACAGATATTGGTAAAAATATCCGAGTGGCTCGGTTTCAATTCGAGCATAGTTTTGCTCTACTCTGCTCAATGATGAGGCAAAGGCTATTGGTATTTCTTGCCCATTGTAGCATTTGGGCCAATCAGACACACATTTATTTGTTATATTCAACAAATAATCCCTAACACTCCTCACTCAACCAACAAGCCATCTATGAGGGTCTATGGACCCTTCCCCCGAAATGAAACTAACACCTCAAAAAGGCAGAACAGGCCTCTAGTTTCATGGCAACCAAAGACAACTCATCTGATAACTCTGGTTTTATTGCTCAAAGGAATGCAGGCAAAGCAACTCTTACTCATTTTCCTCATATGAGAGACACATAATGCCCATAGAAATGGACTCTAGTCTAATTAATTCATAGACAAACCTTTCTATGACCATCCCATCATGCATATCCCTAGGTCACTGTGTATATTACTACTGTTCTTGTATATTGTCTTTTGTATTGTATACTGTTTTATGCATGCTTATGAAATAATCCTTAGTTAATATGACCTCACCTATAGCATGTTTGGTATTTTATGATCTAAATGAGAGTGTATATTATATGTTGATACCTATGTAACATATTAGTGTTCTAAGAATCTCTAATAGTTTTGCATAAGCACCCAATCCAGTTACATATGCAAAATACCATGCTCGAAGACAAAGAGTCGTACATTTTCTCTCCAAATGTTCAAGACACCATTGGCTCTTTGATCCCCCAGAGGTGTGACCTCGACAGAAGTTAAAAGGCCTCACATCAGTGTCACGCCTCTCAGTCTCTTGTCTCTCTCTCTCTCGTCTCTCATTCACCTTCCCGTCTTCCAGAACTGCTGCAGCCGTGCCTGGCATGCCTCGACACTTTCCATATGGGAGGAAACTCTCTCAATCACCACTGAGTCAGAAGAACATCTTTGGAGTTCATCACTCTTCAATCCTCATTGCCAATATGTTATATCTTCTTGCTTTATATAACATGAATGATAAGCAGACATGATTGCTGTGTTAACTCACTTTATTTGTTTCCTGGAAACTCTCTCTTCTTTTTCACCACCACACAAGGCCTTAGAATACTGGTGCAGTGGTGTTCCCATAGGACAGGGGTCTGCATCCTTTGCGACCAAAAGAGCCATTTTGGCCATTCTCCCACCAAATAAAATTTGCCTGGAGCCGCAAAATATATTTGACCTCTAAATGAATAAAACACATTTTGTTGTTTTAATAAAATTGATGCAGATGTAAGGTAGTTGCCTAGTTGCACCACTAGGTGTGATTTCTGTTGTATTTGAATGTTCGTAATTT